CATAGCCACATAAGCAAGCTTCATGCAATGTTGTAATCATGTAGGTGCCTTGGTTAAAAAGTAGAAATGGTAGAACTTTTGTTCTTTGTCCTAAGCAGATTGTGTTCATTCAGCAAATACTTGTTACATACCTTTCTAGCTCAAATGCTAGACTGAGCAGATCATATTAGTTTTCTCTTGAAGAATTCACACTATAGTATAAGGCAGAGCCACCTTACATCATCTCTAGAACAAGGCTGGCAATAAATAAATATATATGAGTCTGTAATAAGTGCCCCTATCAGTTTTAAAATCGAAACACTATAGAAATTTGGAGAGAGAAATCACATTTCCCCGGGGTAATTCATCTATTCAGCAAACATTATTTATAATTGTGTGAATTGTTTTTAATGGCTATAACAAACAGAATATGAAAATGCTTATGTTAAAGTAGGTTGCAGTATGGTTATAAGTACAATGTTATATACAATGTAAAAAAAATGCATTAAAAAAAAAAAAGCTAGAGGGAAAAACACCAAAATAGGAACAAGTAGTTGTATCAGGTCAATTTGAGAAGGCTGGGAAGGAGGAAGGTAGATGGATTTAGAAATATATATATATTTTTCTTTTTTTTTTAAGATTTTATTTATTTGACAGAGATATAGCGAGAGCAGGAACACAAGCAAGGGGAGAGGGAGAGGGAGAAGCAGGCTTCCTGCCGAGCAGGGAGCATGATGCGGGGCTTGATCCCAGGACCCTGGGATCATGGCCTGAGCCGAAGGCAGATGCTTAACGACTGAGCCACCCAGGCACCCCTAGGAATATATTTTTAAAATAAATTATATAGTCACATAGTTTCATAAGTTAAAAAACAGCTGTTCTAAGTCCTGCTCTGGGTGATGGGAGACAGCAGTGAAATAGAAATAGCAATAGGAAAGGTAATAACTACTGGCATTTATTGGATGTATAATAATCTCCTTCCCACACTTGCCCTCTCAACTAGTTCCCCTCCCCCTAGAGGCCAATACTCTGACTTTCTTGTGCATCCTATCAGAGATACTTTATGCCTGATAAGCAAATATATAGATCTATGATAGTTATCTCTTTCTCTTTAATAACTGGTACCTTTACAAACCTTTACAAACATACAAACTGTTCTGTACCTTGCTTTAGTCACTTTTCAATATATTGAAGAGCTTACTTTTTCTTCAATAATACATTGAGAGTTTACTTATTCTCTGTAATTGCTTCATAGTATCCCATTTAATGGGTTACTATTATTTAACCAGTCCCTAAACTAATTTTTTTTTTTTTTTTTAAGATTTTATTGTTTCCTAGCACAGGAGAGGGAGAGGGAGAGGGAGAAGCAGACTCCCCTCTGAGCAGAGAGCCCCATGCGGGGCTTGATCGCAGGACCCTGAGATCATGACCTGAGCTGAAGGCAGCTGCTTAACTTAGTATCTTTATATTTTTAAATTCCTAGGGTGATTCTGCCCCAGAAGGAGGAGGAGGTTGGACCTTTGTAAAATGGAATGTGATACCAAAAAAGCGTATCTAATTTTAGAACAAAAGAGCAGCTCTTTCTACCCATGGGTCCTGTCCCTGTGCTTTAATAAAAACACCTTTTTGCACTGAAAAAAGAAAACGCAAAAAATAAAACAAAAGAATGTAGGCTAACTATAGAGCTCAGAAAGGCAGCATGCTGCGGTTTATGTAGAAGTATGCCTGGGGGGCTTTAATCTGCATATCCAGATTACTGCTGGCTCCAGCATCTTCCCCTTTCAGGATAGTATGGGATAGCCAAGCGTTGCAAGATGAACACATTAGTCTTTTAGATACTGATTAAGGAATGCAGTAGAGGTCATGGTAATCAGAGTTTGGTATGTCACCAAGGGAATGGGTGTGTGAAATATAGGAAGACTGCATAGCACTTAACCTGTTGTTGCTCTGGGTTAGGCTGAGTCACAGAGGAAATGTAACTGCTTGGGAGTAACTTAAAACATACCAAAACACTGAAGGCTTATTCTGTTCTAGCTTCTGTGCTAGGTGAAGGTAAGTAATAAAAAAATAAATCACAGTATGGGGCACCTGGGTGGCTAAGCGTCTGCCTTCAGCTCAGGTCATGATCTCAGGATTCTGGGAGCGAGTGCCACATCGGGCTCCCTGCTCAGAAGAAGACTGCTTCTCTCTCTCCCTCTGCCTGCCACTCCCCCTGCTTGTGGTCTCTCTCTGTCAAATAAATAAATAAATTCTTTAAAAAAAAAAAAGGAAAAAATTTATCGTAGTAATAACTACCAACACTTACTGGGCACTGAGTATATACCAGGTGTTATGCTGAGAGTTTTACAAGTATTCTCTCATTGAATCCTAATCCTAGGCACTGTGGGGACTATTACATTCCCACTTAACAGTTGAGAAAAATGAGTTTCATAGATGTTGAGTAAGTAACTTGCCGAAGATTGCACATGTATCTACTTCATAGGGTTGCTTGAAGTTTAACAGATAGTACTTAGAACAGTGACTGCTACATAATAAATGCTCAATAATATTAGTTGCTATTATTATTACTACTGAAGTACAGAGGAAATACCAGTAATCCTTTGCCTAGGGCATACCTCACAGAAGAAAACTATAAGTAGAGTTTTTCTTGGGAAAGACAGATATTCCAGGTAGAAGAAACAGTAGTAAAGGGGTTGGTGGCCTGATTCAGCTACTGTTTAGGGTGTTTGGTGGTAAATGGTAGAAGAGGATGCGAAATGAAAGAAGGCTTCATGGGGGATGGGGCAGAGAGCTATTGAGCTATTTTGAAAGGATGGGCTTAACTCATTTTAGGAGACCGGGTTGGGAACATTTCTGGCAAAGGTACAACACTTCAAATGGCATAGAAGCAGTGTTGCAGTTATCTACTGCTGTGAAGTAAACTACCCCAAAATTAAGTGGTTTAAAACAATTACTATTTTATTTGCCCACAGTTCTGTGAGTCACATATTTGGGCTAGGCCTAGCTAGGTAATTCTGGTCTCACTGGGGGTCACTCTTGTGGCTGCAATCATTTGATGGTGCCACTGGGGCCAAATAGTCTAAGATGGCGTATCTGACATGGCTGGCTTCGATGATGGCTGTTGGTTGGGCTTCTTCACGTGGCAGCAAAAGAATTGCAAGAGAACAGAAGCTGCAAGGGTTCTTGAGACCTAGGCATGGAAGTCACACAGTGTCGCTCCACCACATTCTGTCAGGCAAAGCAGTCACAAAGCCAGCCTAGATGCAATGGGAGGAAAAGGACACTGCCTCTTGATGTGAAAGGACATGCAAAGAATTTGTGACCCTCCCCCACTCCCCCAAATCTTCCACAAATGGAAAAGGGCAGAATGAGTTTAGGATGTGTAGGCTCTTTGGCCTTTTCCTTACTCTAAGTAGCATTACCTACGAAGTTAATTATACAAGGTACTTTAATCACCTTTATTATCTGACCCTGAACTCTGTTTCTCCTAGAATGAAGACAAAATATAAATTAAAATGAAAAACAGAAAAGCTTGGGGCGCCTGGGTGGCTCAGTTGTGAAGCATCTGCCTTTGGCTCAGGTCATGATCCCAGGGTCCTGGGATCGAGCCCCGCATTGAGCTCCCTGCTCAGTAGGAAACCTGCTTCTCCCTCTCCCACTCCCCCTGATTGTGTTCCCTCTCTCACTGTGTCTCCCTCTGTCAAATAAATACATAAAATCTTAAAAAAACAACAACCAGAAAAGCTTTACCAAGAATTAACTGAACTTTGAAAACTGAATTATAAAACAGTTTCTAGAAAGAAAATGTAGTTTTTAATATTTTCATGAACTTGAACTTGATTAACAGTGGTGTGGAGAATTTCTCAGGGTTCCTGACTTTATAATAGACCAGGATTATGTGTTATTAATACATCATTTATTAGTATTTGATTAAATCCCTTGGTGTTAAAATTTTTTAAACATTTCAATGTTCGACCATATAAAATCTTTTTTATTTTTTTAAAGATTTTGTTTTAGAGAGGGGAGAGTACAAGTTGGGGAGGGGCAGAGTGGGGGAGAGAGAGAATCTCAAGCAGATCCCCCGCCAAGCGTGGAGCACAGCCCTGGAATCATGACCTGAGCCGAAATCAAGAGTTGGACGCTTAACTGATTGAGCCACCAAGGCACCTCTAAAATCTTTTTTTTTTTTTAAGTTTATTTATCTCTCTCTCTCCATCCAGTGTTGGGCTTGAGTTTACGACCCTGAGATCAAGTTACATATACTTCTGACTGAGCCAGTCAGGTCCTCCAGCAACCATATAAAATCTTGACCATAATATTACTTTCCTAGGTTATTTATTTATTTATCCCAGTTAAATTATTTTATATTCTGTACAACATCTACAACCACCTACCTTCACCTGCCTTTTAGAATGATCTGAGATCCTGAATTAAATTCTGAATTAATGATGTTTTTACTTCTTTATTCAATTAACTTTTATCAGTACTCAGCAGATACAAATGTGATTTCCTCTGAGTTATATCAGTTCTCTGGTTTGCTATTTAATTCTGCTTTCCATTCTGAAAGAGTATTCTTAGCCTTTGTTCATTAATCATAGGAAACAGTTGTGCAACATGCCTTGACATTAACTTGAACATCTAAAATTAGTCCTGCTTCAATCAGTGGTTGGGAACAAGGTTTCAGTAGTTGGTGGCATGTGTTAAGTAGATATTGCAAGCTTGGAAGGAACTCCCTAGAAATAAGTAAGTGACTTGCATTGTGTGTGTATGTGCATGTACCTGTGTATATATGCAATTGAAGTTCCATTTGTATTAAGCAGATGAATAAATTACATCTGTCACTACAAATGCATCATAAGCATCTACACTTATGCACTGTGCTGTTTAATTATTTCAGAAGAAAAATATATTTAAAAACTTGGTATGCTAGAATGGATTTTTCTGTATGTTTTGTGATTTTCATTTTTTAAAAGGAATATATATACTATATTTCAAGTAAATGGCTTTTTTTTCCTTTTCAGAATTTATAGAAACTTATTCACAAAAAATGACATCCTGGTTGTATGAATGTCTTTGTGAAGCTGAACTTGCACAGTATTATCCTCATTTTACTGCCCTTGGCCTTCAAAAAATAGATGAATTAGCCAAGGTTACAATGAAGGACTACTCCAAATTGGGAGTGCATGACATGAACGACCGCAAACGCCTCTTCCAACTTATCAAAATCATTAAAATTATGCAGGAAGAAGATAAAGCAGTCAGTAGCCCAGAGCATCCTCTTCAGACAAACAGCCTGTGCAGTAAACCTCAGGAATCCAGATCTGGTCCTCGCAGGCAACTGCATTTTGATTGTCCTGCTGACAAGGACAGAATTACCAACAACAATGGGTTTGAGATGTGCAGTTTATCAGATTTTTCTGCTAATGACCAGAAGTCTAGTTACCTAAAAGTGCTGGAGCACATGCTGCCGGATGATCCCCAATCCCCTACAAAAACAAGAATTCTGAGTGCTGCAGCTACTGGTTCCTATGTGCAAACAGAAACTAGCACTTCACTCTTTTCATCAAATCACTTTTCTCCACTACTGGGAGATTATGATATTCCCATTATTCAAAGAGTCGCTCATGTTTCAGGGTATAACTATGGAATCCCTCAATCTTGTATCAGGTAATTATTTTTATCTTTTTTGGGGTGTAGGGGAGAGGGTAGCATCAGGCAAGGGCAAGCCTCTCCATGACTGAGAGCAACTACTCCTTATTTACAGAAAATTATAGTGAACAGCTTCTGCGACAATAATAGAAGTACCTTGATGGGGGAAAGTCCGTGAGGAATTGGGACTTTCCAGATGGGAGAAAGATGATATTGTTCGTGTATGTCAAACAGCTGTTACTTGCCAGGATCTGCTATTATTCCGCTAGCAGACCTATTTCTATTATTTATTATAGTGTAACATGATACATCTAATGCATCCTTGAAGGTAAAACAGTTAACTGGCCTTCTGCAATGGAAAAAGTGTGTGTGTGTGTTCCACAGGATTTTTTTAAAGCTATCAAATTCACTTCAACCAGGAGACATAAAGCTTAATTAAAAACAAAGAGCATGTAGCTGAATTAAGTAGGTCTTTCGTGCAATTAGCTAACCTGCACACACTGGAATATGGTCCTGATTTTGAGTGCTTTCTTCAGTTCTAGCCCTGCAAGAACATATGATTTTGGTGATTGCAAAAGAGTAAGACACTTTTGATATAGCTTAGACTTTGATAGGGTGACAATAAGTTATTTTCACCTAGTGCTTTACATAAATGTTGAAATAAGGTCCCTAATACCAGCATTGGTATAATAGAAAACATGTTCTTTTAAAAATAACATATATTTGTTGTTTGGTTATTTTAAAAGTTATACATGGTGAATTATGGAAAAACAAAACACATTTTTTTTTTTAAGATTTTATTTATTTATTTGACACAGAGAGATAGCGAGAGCAGGAACACAAGCAGGGGGAGTGGGAGAGGGAGAAGCAGGCTTCCCACTGAGCAAGGAGCCCAATGTGGGACTCGATCCCAGGATACTGGGATCATGACCTGAGCCGAAGGCAGACGCTTAACGACTGAGCCACCCAGGCGCCCCACAAAATACATTCTTAGGCCACATTTTCTTTATTTTTTTTAAGGCTATTATTCATACCTTAAAACAAGGTGTGTATTTATATCTGGCCTTATATTGGCTAAGGTTTCAGAGGATCTCATAACCAACCAGTTCTTTTGTTCCCCCAAAAAAATAAAAGACCCAATTTTACAGGTAAAAGTACTTTTAGTAATTTGAAATACTTACTGCATTTTATAGTATTTCTGAAAACTATTTTGTTTAGTAGAGCACAGAGCATATAGTACTCTTTTCTTCTTTTAATTGTTAGAGAACTAGATTGTTCCATGACTGTCAAAGCCAGGATTGTTGCTGTCCTATTGGTTAGCTCTGCTAAAAGAACAGATATTTTCTTGAATATTAGTCTTCTATTGAACAACACATAAAAACTAAATTGGAGGGCGCCTGGGTGGCTCAGTTGGTTAAGCGACTGCCTTCGGCTCAGGTCATGGTCCCAGAGTCCTGGGATCAAGTCCCACATCAGGTTCCTGGCTCGGTGGGGAGCCTGCTTCTCCCTCTGGCCCTCTCCCCTCTCATGCTGTTTCTCTCTCTCTCAAATAAATAAATAAATAAAATCTTAAAAAAAAAAAAAAACTAAATTGGAGGGCGCCTGGGTGGCTCAGTTGTTAAGCGTCTGCCTTCGGCTCAGGTCATGATCCCAGGGTCTTGGGATCGAGTTCCAAATCGGGCTCCCTGCTCGGCAGGAAGCCTGCTTCTCCCTCTCCCACTCCCCCTGCTTGTGTTCCTGCTCTTGCTCTCTCACTCTGTCTCAAACAAATAAATAAAATCTTAAAAAAAAAACTAAATTGGAATTATTTATAAATAAAGATATCACTTTGCAAATTACTTATAAATAATTTGCATTATTTATTTGGACAGAATGAATATTTTAGTTTAAATATTGCTATTTCATTTGGCACGTATTAAGTACTACCTCTTCTAGGTCTGATTTTAGTTTTAAAGATAATCAGGATACGTGGAGGCTGTTAGACTCTTAGGGGGAGTGAGCGGGAAGACAGACAACCATATGGTGAGATACATGCTCTTATAAGAGGCTTATACGTGACAAACCCAGAGTGAAAGCTATTCCATTGAGTTTTCTTAATTTTTTTTTTTTTTTAAGATTTATTTATTTATTTGAGAGAGCGAGAGTACATGAGAGGGGGGAGGGTTAGAGGGAGAAGCAGGCTCCTTGCTGAGCAGGGAGCCCGATGCGGGACTCGATCCCGGGACTCCAGGATCATGACCTGAGCCGAAGGCAGTTGCTTAACCAACTGAGCCACCCAGGCGCCCCGAGTTTTCTTAATTTTTATGTCATTATTTTATCACTCTTCCACTCTTTATTATATTAGGGAAATAGAGATAAATAGAGATAAAAAAGGACATTTTCCCCCAATAACCTTCATATTATCTTCTTACCCAAATATTTCTAAGTAGCAGTCAGGGTTTCAGAACCCTGAGGAACTCCCTCACCAACTAAAGTCTTGCTATTAGGATGTCATCTTGTCCAAAGAGCATTCTCTTTGGGTGCCTCAACTCAAGCTCAAAATAAATTACTGGTCTCAGAATTTTTTTAAAGATTTTATTTATTTATTTGACAGAGCACAAGCGGGGGAGTGGCGGGGCAGGGGGAGAAGCAGGCTCCCCGCTGAGCAGGAAGCCTGACGTGGGGCTTGACCCCAGGACCCTGACTGAGATCATGACCTGAGCTGAAGGCAGATGCCCAACCGACTGAACCACCCAGGAACTCCTGTTCTCAGAATTTTAATAAGTCTAATGCATTTAGAGATCTTAAAAAGACCTAACTCCAGCTGTTTTTTTTGTTTGTTTTTTTTTAAAGATTTTATTTATTTATTTGAGACAGAGAATGAGATAGAGCATGAGAGGGTCAGAGGGAGAAGCAGACTCCCCGCCGAGCAGGGAGCCCGATGTGGGACTCGATCCAGGGACTCCAGGATCATGACCTGAGCCGAAAGCAGTCGCTTAACCAACTGAGCCACCCAGGCGCCCTAACTCCAGCTGTTTTAACTCTTCATGTCAGAAAATACAGCTTATTTCATCTAAGGAACACTGGGCATTAAAACTAGAGCCTTCTAGGGGTACCTGGGTGGCTCAGTCGGTTAAGCATCTGACTTGGGCTCAGGTTATGATCTCAGGGTCCTGGGATTGAGCTCCATGTCAGGCTCCCCACTCAGGGAGTCTGCTTGTCCCTCTGCCCCCCCCCCCCCACTCATTCTCTCCCCCCCACACTCTCTCAAATAAATAAATAAAATCTTAAAAAAAAAAAACCTTTTAGCAGAAGAACATTCATTGTTTTTTTGCCCCTTGACCTGGAAAACTAGTCCTTTTGACCACATGATCCATCCTAGAGTCCCTAGTTACTTTTGAAAAAGACTTTTCTGTCCTTTGATTAGCTTTATACAATTAGGTTATTAATACTCCCAATAACTAGAGATTTTGACACAGGCCCTTGTTAAAATAATGCATTAAAATTTTGTTTTTCTGGGGCGCCTGGGTGGCTCAGTCGTTAAGCGTCTGCCTTCAGCTCAGGTCATGATCCCAGGGTCCTGGGATCGAGCCCCACATCAAGCTCCCTGCTTAGGGGGAAGCCTGCTTCTCCCTCTCCCACTCCGCCTGCTTGTGTTCCCTCTCTCACTATCTCTGTCAAATAAATAAACAAAATCTTAAAAAAAAAAAATGTTTTTCTTATTAAAAAAAATCAAACATATGCAGAAGAAGGGAGAATAAATCAATGAATCCCCTAATGCCCATCATCCACTTTTCATGATGTCAGGATTTTGCCACACTTAACCTCAAAATGGTACTTTTTTTTTTTTAAGACTTTATTTATTTATTTGACAGAGAGAGACACAGCAAGAGAGGGAACACAAGCAGGGGGAGTGGCAGAGGGAGAAGCAGGCTTCCCACTGAGCAGGGAGCCCGATGCGGGGCTTGATCCCAGGACCCTGGGATCATGGCCTGAGCCCAAGGCAGATGCCCAACAACTGAGCCACCCAGGCACCCCTCAAAATGGTACATTTTTAAAACTCTGCTGTATGTTGGTTAAAAAAAAACAAAACAAAACATGGCAGGGCACCTGGTGGCTCAGTCAGTTAAGTGTCCAACTTTTGATTTCAGCTCAGGTCATGATTTTAGCGTTGTGAGATTAAGCCCTGTGTTGGGCTCTGCACTAGGCATGGAGCCTGCTTAAGATTCTCTCCCTCTCCCCTCACCCCCCCTTAAAAAAAACATGCTTTAAAAGCCTGATGTAGTCCTTTATGGTCTATATTAGAACTATTCTATATATAGAACTATATTAGAAATTCTGTTTGCTCCTTTTTACTAATTTAAATCCTGGCAAAAAGTAATTTTCCAGCCAGTTGGATGTCTCAGAAAATTGATATGAAACAATTATATAGTGAAATATCCTGTGTAAAATCTATTACAAAGGCTTTTTAGGGGCTATTAATCAAATTCTAAAGTGTAAAGGAAGGGAATAATTGGTCTTGTCGAAGACATTCTTAGTATATGGACCAAAGGCATTGATCCTGGTAAACTACTTTCAAGAATCCTATGTTACTTAGGTTAAGAGGAATTTCTTTTTTTTTTTTTTTTTAAGATTTTATTTATTTATTTGACAGAGACAAAGAGAGGGAACACAAGCAGGGGGAGTGGGAGAGGGAGAAGCAAGCCTCCTGCGGTGCAGGGAGCCCAATGTGGGGCTCGATCCCAGGACCCCGGGATCATGACCTGAGCCGAAGGAAGACACTTAAGGACTGAGACACCCAGGCACCCCAAGAGGAATTTCTATATAGGTAAATGGTCAGTTGTTAGAGATACACATGTATACCCTCATTAGGCTCAGTAAGTAAACTTGATGAATTTTGTATCCCTAGCTCAAGGAATATTTCATTAAATATTCTAGCTGTTAAGGTTGATAAGTTCACTGAAGTCAGAGCCAGAAAAGAAATGCATCTTAATAGAAGGGTGATAGTGATGGGCAGTACCAGTCATAAAATTGTCCTAGGAAGAAGAAATACAGGATTGTGTTCTAACAAACACATATCAGGTGGACAAAAAGAGGAAGTAAGAAAGCAAGACAAAGGGAGGGGCAGAATATACTTAAGAGGAAGAGGAAAAGTACATTGAAACCTACCACCTAATTCAAGGTATTTCAACCCAGATAGGATAAAAAAAAAAAAAATTAGATTAAATGGTCAAGAAAACAGTAAATGGGGGCGCCTCGGTGGCTCAGCCAGTTAAACGGCTGCCTTCGCTCGGGTTGTGATCCCAGGGTCCTGGGATCAAGCCCCACGTCGGGCTCCCTGCTCAGTGGGGAGTCTGCTTCTCCCTCTCCCCCTTGCTTGTGTTCTCTCTCTCTCTAATAAATAGAATCTTTAAAAAAAAAAAGAAAACAGTAAATGTGTAAGAATAATTGGATTGAGAGGAAGTAAGAGACATGGGTTTAGGTCTTTTAAAGGCCTTGGAGGGGTGGTTCCAACATACTGTGTTTGATTTTGAGGATTAACCAGTCTGATTTGGGGGGACATATAGAAAGAACATCCACCATTAGAAGTTTTTGGAAGACCACATCTGGAAGCCAAACACACAAGTCTTAGAGCTAGAGCAACTCAGGGTTTTGGGGTTTTTTGTTTGTTGTTGGCAGGACAAAGGATGGACTGGATTAGGGATAGAGAGAGAAGTAATCAGGAGGATTTAGTTAATTAATAAAAGAACTTTCTAGGGGTGCCTGGGTGGCTCAGTCGTTAAGCATCTGCCTTCGGCTCAGGTCATGATCTCAGGGTCCTGGGATCGAGCCCCGCATCAGGCTCTCTGCTCCGCGGGAAGCCTGATGCTCCCTCTCCCACTCCCCCTGCTGGTATTCCCTCTCTCGCTGTCTTTCTCTGTGTCAAATAAATAAAATCTTAAAAAAAAAAAAATAAAAGAACTTTGTATATACGTAATATGTGTAAAGTTATATATTAAAGTGTTGATACTGAGAAAGTTTTATGTATAATATGTGTAAGGTGTGTATATAAAATAACAAAATGTGATGATACTTTGACCTCTTAAGTAGCCTTATCCTATTACTAAAAATTAAAGCCCACTTATAAATATGTATCAGACAGAACACCATAGAGAAAGAGAATCCTTGGACTGAGATGGAAAAAATCAGAGTTTGTGTTCGAAAACGCCCTTTGGGCATGAGGGAGGTACGTCGTGGAGAAATTAATATTATTACCGTAGAAGACAAAGAAACTCTTCTAGTTCATGAGAAGAAAGAAGCAGTTGACCTTACACAATATATTCTGCAGGTATGATGCTTTCCTTTTGTGTTTGGAACTAATATTATCAAGTGTGTCGATTTTTTGCTTTTATTTGAATGGCAGCATACAAATTGAAAAATCCAGTTTCTTTGGGTATTGGCATTCATTCCTGATATAAATCATTAATACCCTGGGCCTTCATTTAAAAAAAATATAGTGCAATTGGGGAAACAATAATGTAATTTCTGCACTCTAGGGCAATAGAATTACATCATACCTTCACTTAACACATTTTACATGAATGTAATTATACGTCTTTGGCAAAATGGGGACTGAGGGGATAAAAAGAATGTAGTGAATTTGTGGTAGATAGGACTAGTCACTGAGTGCATGCCCCAGAGTGACTGAGAGATGATCCCATAGCCTCAATTCTTGCTTGTCTCGCACAGTGTGAACTTATTCTTCTGAGTGTGAGTCTGGAGTTTAATGATGGAGGATATGTTTTCGAGCAACAAAGTTCCAGATTGCCACTCAACGGCTTATTTTGATTCTCAGCTGTCTTTGGGCTTAGATATAACTTGGTGGAAACTGGGCTCTTGAGCCGGCTACTTTGTATAGGGTTGCTTATAGTGAGTAAATGTAATCCAAGAATATGATTTCACTTTTACATCTAACATGTAAGGATTTAAATAAAACACTAGTAACTTAAACACATAAGAAAATGTTCACTCCCTGCCAGAAAGATCACAAAAAGTCCAAGGAGAAAGGGTTTGGTATTGAAAGGAACTTTTTTCAAGCAGATAGATACCCTTGCAATAATTCTTCAGTCTCCTATGGAAGCAGCAGGCCCACAGATGGAAGATACCATAATTTAGGTACTCTTAAAATTATGAAGCAATTGTAAATAATCTAAAACAGAGGATAATCCACCAGATGCTAAGATTTGGGAATTCAGGTCTCTCTTAATCTGAATCTGCCTCCTTAAACATTCATATTATATTCATACTATTCTCTCTTTGCTCTCTTGCCTCAAAACCCAGTGACTGGTAGAGAGAGAAAAAAGTGGTGAGTAATCTTTTGTGCTAGCATTTCACCTTAGTCAGCTGAGATTTTACTCTCCTGGAATAAATATGTTAACACTGAAGTCAAATTGTTAACACTTTCCCCCTCTTCTATACATGCATTGTTCAACTTATTCTTGGTTATCAATATTGGGTTTCACAGCAACATTCAAAGGAATCCACTGAGTCTTTCTGTGGCCACTAAATTACTAGGCCACTGTATAAACAACCCAATCACTTTAACAGCCTTATTGACTGCTGATCAATGCACAGTCTATTAGGTCTAGGTGGGAGGTATTTATTTTGAAAATGGCCTAAATGCCAATTAGTTATAATGTTATCTAGTTCCATGTCTACTTATAACCATAGTAATAGTCCTGTCCAGTCACCATCTACCCAAGAAGTCCTTAATGATGCTTCTGTCACAGTAATTCCCTCAAGGAAGCATTGTCTTATCTTTTGTATTTTTCCATTATCCCAAAACATAATAACCTTACTTCCTTGTCATTACCACTGGTCAATACTTATTGAACACCCATGGTTTTCATAGCAGTTTCTCTGCAGTTTGAACTTTGGACCTTTGTTCTCATAGGTTAAAGTCCTTACCTATCAATGCCGTAATACAAGTGCTGAGAGGGCTTTTCCCCCTTTTCTTTCCTTAAGTGGAAAGAAGAAAAGGGAGGTTCATAGCAAACCTAGAAAATATTGATCCTAGATTCTTTGGGCTTTAATTTTTAAACTTATTCAAGAATTCAAACACCAGGTTTATGTATCCATTTAATTAAATATCCTATCCTTTCAAATTTTCTTTTGTTACTTAGTATATATATGGTCATACACATGCAGTGCGCTTTCCTACTTACCATTAAATTTTGTATCAATATGTGAAAGGACAAGGAAATGAATTTGTATATATTTCATTCCAGCTTTTTTTTTTTTAAGATTTTATTTATTTATTTGACAGAGAGAGACACAGTGAGAGAGGGAACACAAGCAGGGAGAGTGGGAGAGGGAGAAGCAGGCTTCCCTCCGAACAGGGAGCCTGATGCGGGGCTTGATCCCAGGAGCCTGGGATCATGACTTGAGCTGAAGGCAGACGCCCAACGACTGAGCCACCCAGGCGCCCCTCATTCCAGCTTCTTAAATAAAGAAATATATGTAGAAAAAAGAGATGGTACTGAAATATATCAGAAAGTCAATAGTGGCTATCTCTGGGTAGTAAGTTTTATAGATAAATTTGATTTTCTTCTCTGTTGTGTTCCATGTTTTTAAATTTTTCTATAATCAGCTTGTTTTATATGAAAAGTAAAAACTTTTGAGTAAGATGGATTCACCTATTTCAAAATCAAAACATACAAAAGTGTATGCAGTGGGGTGCCTAGGTGGCTCAGTCGGTTAAGCCTCTGCCTTCAGCTCAGGTCATGATCCCAGGGTCCTGGGATTGAGCCCCATATCAGGCTCCCTGCTCAGCCTCAGCGGGGAGCCTGCTCCCCCCTCTCCCTCTGCCTGCCACTCCCTCTGCTTGTACTCGCTCTGTCAAATAAGTAAAATATTTAAAAAAAAAAAAAAAGTGATGCGGTGAAAAGTGTCCTGCTAATCGTATTTCCTCCTTGAAGGCAACCACAATTACCTGTTCTAAGTCTGTCTTTCCAGAGATATTTTATAAATACATATTATGTTTATAATGAAAAAACTTATTTAAAAAATAAATTATGGAGGGGTGCCTGGGTGGCTCAGTTGGTTAAGCGACTGCTTTCGGCTCAGGTCATGATCCTGGAGTCCCGGGATCGAGTCCCACATCGGGCTCCCTGCTCAGCAGGGGGTCTGCTTCTCCCTCTGACCCTCCTCCCTCTCGGGCTCTCTGTCCCTCATTCTCTCTCTCTCAAATAAATAAATAAAATCTTAAAAAAAATAAATGAATAAAATAAATTATGGAACTCTGATCATTACAAGGCTAAAGTGAGTATTCATACAACCTAATTGATAAAGTATGATTAAATGAAATACGTTATGCAAAGAACTTTATGGAATATATATATAGATCTGTATCTAGATATCTATCTAGATATCTATCTAAATATATGTGTATATATATTTACGTATAAATATATATGTAGTGCTAGCATTTATTATATTTATGTAATATATATGTTAATTATAATCTTGCATGTTCACATATCTTTCATTAAGGATATTTACAGAAGTACTGGGAAAATCAGTACCTAAATCCTGTTGGAAGGAAAGATACCAATGCCTTTAATCAATAAGTGTTTTCTAAGATGTTTACTCAAGAGCTAAAGTTATTCACATGCACTTACAGAAGTAGAGAAAGAATCGCCGTATACTCAGTGAAGTAAAAGAAAATTTTAAGAGTCTCATGCTCTACCGACTGAGCTAGCCGGGCGCCTAGTAAAAGAAAATTTTTAAAAATTCCCACATTTACTTGTGTTCATTTTCTTCCTTATTTTCCTGAGAAATGCCAAAAAAAAAAAATTAGAAATATATTTTACTTCTTATTATTGCCATTTTCAAGTTTATTCAGAAGTACAATGAACCCCTATGTACCTACCACCCAAATTCAACAGTTAAAAACATTTTATTGTTTTTAAAATCCTATCACATATTTCATACCACTAAAAGCTCACAGATCTCTTTATTGTGCTCCACAGATTCATTATTTTCTAGCTTTTGGTAATATTTTCTAACTGGTAAATTCAACTTTGTGGCCCCAATTTCTGCTAAGGTGACCTAACAAATTGCTATTCTAATGTAATTTAATGATACACAAACAGAATCAAACCTGGGTAGAATGACCCACATAATAAATTGGCCCAAATTCACTTTGCTGGATTTTCCTTTAACTGGATATTTAGAGCAGGCCCAAGAGGTCGCAGAAGAAAGGACCTCATGTCTCATTCATTGTATATGGACTGCCATTATTATGCTACAGTCAGGCTTGAAATTAGGATTTTTACTTAGAGATAGTTGGGCTGCCAATAGCCTCTAAGTTATGCAAATGATTATGTCTACTGAATTAATGCTTTCCAGACACAGTTTAATAGGGTCTTCTGTCCTTTTCCAGATTATATGATTTTTCATTTGGGGATCATCTTGACCACTCTCTCTCCCCAGCAAGTCATATCCAGGCAGTTGCCAAATTTTTCATGCATCCATCTCCTCTTTATTTTCTTTGTCATCATCAAATTTAGACCTAACTTCTTAACTCACCACTGGATTACCAGTATCCCTGTTCTTAGTCCATTCACAGTGTGAAGCCACTTTAATCTTCCAGTAAAATGGATCACATCATCCCTTTCCTTTGCAAGGTTTTTTATTGTCTTCCCACTATTTGCTAATTATTTGCTAAATTAAATATAAACATTCCATCCTTAAGGCTAGTGTCCCAGTACCCATGCAACATAGTCCTAACTCCTTATTCTAGCCTTCTATTTCACCTACCAAGATCCTATGTTTTAACCACACTGAATCTTCTCTGTTCCTTAAATGTTCCTTGTGCTTTCCTGATTTGACTGTTGCTCATGTTTTCCCTGTGGCTGGAGTATCTTCCCTGCCTCCATCTCTAACTCTTAAATTCCTCTTCTTCCCCCACAGCCCTTTCTGTGTACAGTCTTTTTCATAATGTCTTTCCCAATCAGAAGGCATATGTTTTTCCTTTGAATTCCACATGTACTTTATCTGTCAGATTTTTTCTAGCTTAGAAGCATTTGTATACTTGTCTGGATTCACATCTTAGGTGGTGGGGTGGGGTAATAGTAGGGTAATATCTATATCTTTGGGCCCTTTGAAGTGCCTACTGCAGTTATACATGTTACAATTGAACAATAAATGTTCATGGGATTAAAAGCTCAGCTATGGGGGCGCATGGGTGGTTCAGTTGGTTTAGCAAGCGTCTGTGTTCAGCTCAGGTCATGATCTCTGGGTCCTGGGATTGAGCGCCGTGTTGGGCTCCCCAGCTCAGAGGGGAATCTGCTTCTCCCTCTGTCCCCTACCCCCAGCTTGTGCTCTCTCTGTCTCTCAAATAAATAAAATCTTTTAAAAAGGAAGTTAAAGCTTAGCTATGTAACCTATGAAATGGAAGTCTTCCTCTAGAATTCCCCTAAATTTCAAATATGCTGGCCCTAGCTGGGCTGTGAGGATAATCCCTAGAGAATTCATTTATCCTGGACCTAAGGAGGTTTGGCTCACTCTTGTACTCATCAGTTTACTTCACTTAAGAAAGAACAAAAATTGTGTGCTTTAGTTTTTATATTATAAAAACATGACTACAGAGAGCTCAAGTAGAAGAAGGCCCTGTCATTTGATAGTTACTGATTGCTTATTTATCTCTAAGTTTGTCATAGTCAGTTACTTAGTTAAAAAACATACTAGCATCTTTAGTATGTGTTAACTAGAATAGTGGTGAAGAAAATCCAGAAAATGTCTCTTCTATAAAAAATCACATTTCTTTTTCAGCATGTTTTTTATTTTGATGAAGTCTTTGGTGAAGCATGCACCAATCGGGATGTATACATGAAGACTACTCACCCACTCATTCAGCATATTTTCAATGGGTATGATAGTAATTATTTGCTTCTCTTGTTTCATACTGTTTTCCATAACAAATTTCTTTATAAATATCATTTATGTTTTTCAGTTTTTGAATTAGACATGAATTTGTGTTTTAATCTGATGAATTTAGACTCTTCTAAAGAGTGCATTGTCTCTGTAGGATTCACCAAGCATTCAGAAATTTTCAGCAAAAATATAAATTGTCAACAATATAATTTCATCAAAGTTCTCAGAATAAAAAGGTTTAAATGGTTGTAGTTTGAACTTCCGATGATAGGAATTATGTATTCTGCCCATAGCTCACTTTTTTCATTGGAGTGGGATAGATAAGAGACTATCATCTGTTTTTTATAGATGTATTTTTTAAATTTTGAAATAATTATTCACACTTAATAAACATTAAATGGGACCAAAAAGGCACTAAGGACTTCTGTTGTTTATTCAAAATATAGGCACGTATAGATAGAAAATGCCAAACAGCCTACTAGTATCACTGATTCCAGAGTAGTTTGACTTTTTAAAAAAAATTTTTATAACTTTAAAAATATTGAGGTATGGGGCGCCTGGGTTGCTCAGTCATTCAGCGTCTGTCTTCGGCTCAGGTCATGATCCCAGGGTCCTGGGATCGAGTTCCACATTGGGCTCCCTGCTCCGCGGGAAGCCTGCTTCTCCCTCTCCCGCTCTCCCTGCTTGTGTTCCTGCTCTCGCTGTCTCTCTCTGTGTCAAATAAATAAATATTAAAAAAATATATTGAGGTATAATTCACATACAATTAGATGCACAGATCTTAAGAAGTATTCAGGTTTGATGAGTTTTGGTAGTTGTCTATATCCAGGTAACCAATACCTCGAACAAGATAATAGACCATTCCCATCACCCCAGGGAGTTCTCTTGTTGTCCCCTTTTAGTAAATCTCCACTTCCACCCTCAGATCTTATATAATCACTGACCTGCTTTCCGTCATTATAGATTAGTTTTGCCTGTTCTAGATTGTCACAGAAATAGAATCATTCCCACATAGGTTCTTTTATGCTTGGCTTAGCATAATGTTTTTTGGTATTAGTACGTGGTGCATGTATCCATAGTTTTTATTCCTTTCTATAAAAATACCACAATTTATCCATTCTCCTATTGATGGACATTTGGGTTGTTTCCAGTTTGGGACTATTGTGAATAAAGCTGTATAAACATTCTTGTACAAGTCTTTTTCTTGGACATGTTTTCATTTATCTTGGGTGAAACTTAGAAAGGGAATTGCTGAGTCATAGGAGAGGTATGTGTTTATAAGAAAGTGTCAAACAGTGTTCCATACACCCATTTTCTATTCCCAACAGCGATGTATGTGAATTGCATTTCTTTCTTTTTCTTTTAAGATTTATTTATTTATTTGAGAGAGCATGCGCATGAGTGTGTCAGGGAGGGGCAGGGGTGCCCTGTGAATTGCATTTCTACATCCTCACCATATTTGGTATTGTCAGTCTTTATTTTAGCCAAGCTAATGGGTATGTAACTTGAGCTCATTGTGGTTTGAATTTGAATTTCCCCGAATGCCTAATGATATTGAGAATCTTTTCATTTGCTTATTGGCCATTCAGATAACTTCATTTGTCTGTCTTTTTGTTTTCTTTTTATTGTTGTTTATTGTTGTTTTGTAGACATCATTAATTTTTTTTTTTTTATTCTGAGCAGGCTGAAAAAGTGAAATATCTTTCAGGTTCAATTTCTTATATGCCAAATCTAGGGAATACTTTTTAAGAGAGCAAGTTTCTAAAGTTAGATTTAGAACAAATAAAATGTGCAGGGGTGCCTGGGTGGTTCAGTCAGCTGAGCTTCAGGCTCTTGATTTTGGCTCAGGTCATGATCTCAGGGTGGTGAGATCGAGCTCCCTGTGGGAGTCTGCTTGAGATTCTCTCCTCCCTGCCCCCCACCCCCGCCACACTTGTGCTTGTGCGCACATACGTGCTCTCTCTCTCTCTAAAATAAATAAATCTTTAAAAAAAGAGGAACAAGTAAATGCATCCATTCTGCAAAGGGTAGTAAGAGATTTTTCATACGCATATTTGTTGTTGTTTTTCAGAAAGCTCATCACTAAAATATTCAGAAGATGGGGCAGCTGGGTGGCTCAATCGGTTAAGCTTCCAACTCTTGATTTCTGCTGAGGTCATGATCTCACAATTGTGAGATCAAGTCCCGCATCTGGCTCTGCACTGGGTGTGGAGCCTGCTTGGGATTCTCATTCTCCCTCTCCCTCTACCCCACTTGCATTTTCTTTCTGTCTTTCTCTCTCTCAAAAAAAAAAAAAAAAAAAAAATTCAGAAGATAGGGTAGATGTTATTTAGTCTCATTCTGCTAAACCTTCTTTAGTGTGTTCACATTTTCCTCCTTTAATCCTTTTCCTCACTGAGCCTCTGCCAGTGTGTTCAAGTGCCTACACAGTGGGAGCCTGGATTCAAAAGACAAGGAGGAACTGGTCTCCGCTCAAGCAGCTTAAATCTAATCAAATTAAATCTCTTTCTTCTCACACTTCCGTGGTTCCTTTGCTGTTGTGCTATTACTCCTTCTTTGGTTTCTTTCTGGCTTCTGGCTCCTTTCTTCATTTTCATCTCTCTGCCCACCACCAGTATCCCCCTACCTCTCTGTCTATACATAGACGTTTCTTCTTGGTGCTGGTAGCTACTTTTATCATTAACTCATGCGATTCCTGTTCAAGAGTCAGTAATAGCTGCTTACTATTTAACATTATGGTCACTTTCTACTCTGTACTATATAGTTGGGCCTCTGGTACTCAGATAACCTTGGCCTCTGGCTCCTCTGAAAACATGTGATTGGCAGATTAGTCTCCCAACTCTTATTCTGCAGTTCCTCACACTCATGCCCCACACATACACCCACATGCAAGGATAGTGATTCTCACTTAGAATCACATGATGTTAGGGTTAGAAGGGATCTTAAAAATCAAGTAACCCATTAACTTATTAATGAAAGTGAAAACTGAGGCTCTTAAAGCCCTTTTGTGAGTTCTTCCTCAAATATTTTGCTTAGACTGATTTTACCTCTGTCTAAACTTAATATTTATAGGAGTAGTCAGTACCACCCTGTTCATCATATGGTCTTCCATTATTTCTTGTATTTATTTATTTATTTTTTAAAAGATTTTATTTATTTATTTGACAGAGACACAGCGAGAGAGGGAACACAAGCAGGGGGAGTGGGAGAGGGAGAAGCAGGCTTCCCGCTGAGCAGGGAGCCCGATGGCGGGCTTGATCCCAGGACCCTGGGATCATGACCTGAGCCGAAGGCAGACGCTTAACGACTGAGCCACCCAGGCACCCCTCTTGTATCTATTTTAATTCTCTATTACTTCTTTCATCAAAGTTACCTTTTAGGATTAAGGCAAAATCATCTCCAGAATTCTCTAGAGCATGGGGTCCTTGTCTTATGGTATAACCAGTTCCATAAAAAAAAATTCCTATTAAAAAACTCATGTACTGGGGCGCCTGGGTGGCGCCTCAGGTCATGATCTCAGGGTCCTGGGATCAAGCCCCACATCGGGGTCCCTGCTCAGCGGGAAGCCTGCTTCTCCCTCTCCCACTCCCCCTGCTTGTGTTCCCTCTCTCGCTGTGTCTCTCTCTGTCAAATAAATAAATAAAATCTTAAAAAAAAAAAAAAAAACATGTACTGCTTTGAGAATGTTTTTTCTTTTTCCTATGTTTTTATAATATAAAGCCCTCCTCTCCTTAAAGGATTGTATACTTATAGCTGAATTTTACCAACCATAAACAGGATTCTGTTTCTATCTGACTTTTGTCATGAAAAATCTAGGTGTAGATTAGCATTTCTCTTTGTATATATGTTATACAAATGACTTTTTTCCCTAGAGGCAATGCCACTTGCTTCGCATATGGACAGACAGGTGCTGGGAAGACCTACACCATGATAGGAACTCATCAGAACCCAGGACTCTATGCTCTGGCTGCCAAAGATATATTCAGGCAACTAGAAATATCTCAGACAAGAAGGCACCTCTTCGTGTGGATCAGCTTCTATGAAATCTACTGTGGACAACTTTATGACCTCTTAAATAGAAGAAAAAGGTACTGATTATGAGTGGGAAACTGTATATTTGTGGATCATTGTTTTAGGCCAGAGTCCCACAGAATCACTGAATCATGGATTTGATGCAAGGCCTTGTTATATTAGTGCCTTTTTGTGAAATTAGTCTCCTGAGTCAGGAATTTTTTTTTTTTTTTTAAGAGACTATGCTTTTCTTTCTCTCTCTCTCTTTTTTTTTAAAGATTTTATTTATTATTTATTTGACAGAGAGAGATAGTGAAAGCAGGCACACAAGCAGGGGGAGTGGGAGAGGGAGAAGCAGGCTTCCCCTGGAGCAGGGAGCCCGATGTGGGGCTGGATCCCAGGACCCTGACGACTGAGCCACCCAGGCGCCCCAGATGAATATTTTTTAAACTGCCAGTTCAGCTAGAGAAAAATGTAAATTAGCCTTCCATTAGTATTTTTTTTTTTTAAGTAATCAATATCCTAATGTTTATTAAAAGACTATCCCTTTTATTTTGGTCTATGAAAAAAGTCAAGATTTCAGGAAGTAGGATATCAACGTGTACTTAAATCCCTTCCTATTCTTTTGACCTATTATTACACTGGAAGAACTATAAATAATGTTTCCTGCTTTCACTTATTTTTTTTCCCCTCAATAATCTTAGGGTAAACTTAATGATAGTTTTCTGAAATCAGTAAAAAGAAAAGAAATCTCTCTTCTTCACAGTAGACTTTTAGCTCTTGTAACTCTTAAACTGTTGCCCTTGCAACATAATACAGTAATTTAGAAATGGATTCAGTCAACTGACTTTAAATCCCTATTGTATTTTTCTGGTGTAAAATTTTGTTTAGGTTGAAACAGATGACTTTAATTGAGCAGGAAGCAATGAAGTTGTGAAGGTACCAACTGGGAGAATAAGGAGGAGAGATGGAATAGGGGAGGTGGATGGATAAAAGGGTGTCATAACAGAATTAACCAGACCTGTGACGTGTTGGGAGCAGCCACACCAAGTGGAGAGAGTTGAGGCTAAGCATGGTGGAAGGCTGGGGAAGCCAAATCAGTGACAGAAACTAGCCTCCAGCAAAGGAATCCTAGCCCCTACAAAGCTGTCCAAAAGGATGTGCACATTGCACATGCTCCAGGCAAGCACTGGAATGGGGGGTGGGGGTAGAAGAGCAGCTCGAGTTCAGTAGGGAGAACATTATAGCACGGCCCCCATGGGAGAGGGGCACTAGGTATTGAGTTGTGAAACTGGAGAAGGCAGCAGCTAGGCTTGGGCAGACCACCATCTGTGGACTATTCCAAAGAAAAGGGGACCTTCGGGTATGGCACAATTCAGAGAATATACAGGTGTTCGGGGTTCATTCCTGACATAGCAACTGCCAAAGAAAGGAGGGTTCTGCTTTGGGTTTGCTTTGGAGAAGAGTTGCTTTTCTTTTTTACCCTCTCTGTTGGTTTTGAAGCCTCAAGTTAGCTCAATCACAGCTTCTCTTCCAAGCCCCCACACTCCTTTTTAGGAGCCCTTTCCAGTCAGAATATAGCCAGGCACTGGGATGCTAGAGCATCTGGCTCTGGGGCTCCCAAACAGACCAGGTTCAACCACTAGCCACTGAAAAATCCAAAGTCAGAAAAATGAGTGGTGGTGAAACAAGAAAGGAATTTATTTCAGTGAGGCCAACGCTGAGAAGACATTTCAAGACATTTCATTTCATAACATTTCAAAGACTGCCTCCAACATGCCAAAAATACTACTACTCGGGAGTTTTTTGTTGTTGTTTTGGAGGGTTTTTTTTAAAGATTTTATTTATTTGAGAAAGAGTGCGAGAGAGCATGAGCAAGGGGAGGGGCAGAGGGAGAAGCAGATTCCCTGCTGAGCAGGGAGCCCGATGCCAGGCGCCATCCCAGGATCCTGAGATTATGACCTGAGCCAAAGGCAGACACTTAACCAACTGAACCCCCTCACCCCCACCCCGGCCGCCCCTCTCCCTTTTTTACTTCTAGGTTTATATAAGGAAAACACGGGACAAAGGTTGGTGGGTACCCGTAGGTGGGTGGTGAAGGTCAAGTTGATCATTGTCTTGGGGTCAGTCATGGGTGGGGTCTTGCTGGCTCAGGGCAGTCCTTATTGCTTGAGGGGGTAGTGAGGGTAGTTTGGGTTCCCTTATGGGAATGCTTTGCCTGCAGGGTCTTTTCTCTGAGTAAAGAGATAAGCTGGAAAGAACTTAATCAATTAGGAAGTTTGAGGTCAAAATGGAGGTAGTTGAAGTCCTCTTTGTTTAAAGAGCAGTTGGCAGGAGAATAAAAGCTGTTGTGCTGTGTGTGTGTGTGTGTGTGTCTGTCTCTCTGTCTCCGTCCATCCATCCAGTTTGTTTGGGTGAAGGGACAGTCAGGATATCTAGTCAGCTATTTGTGAGTGCAGTTCTTTAATGAATTACTCAGATATATTGCCCTTTATATTTGCATTCTTGAATAGCAGTCAAGGGGATGGGATATGCTAACTCCTGGCTTTGAATCTTCTTTTTAGGGCTCACTAGGAAGACCCACACTTCCTCTGCAAGTGTCTTGGGCTGTGGGTGTTTTCTTTTTGTTTTTATATCTCTGGTTAATTGGCTAATATCTCTTTTGCCTATCTTCCTGGGACCCCTGAAATGTCCCGATTACCTGAGGGCACCCTTTCTTTTTGTTTATTAGAGCTGTTAATGCTTTATCCTAAAAATAATAGTAAGACTTTGACAAAGGTGAGCTGAAACATATATGCTCAGTCCACCTCCTTTTTTAAATCTATTTATTTGACAGAGAAGAGAGCACAAGCAAGGGGAGTGGCAGGGAGAGGGAGAAGCAGGCTCCTGCTGAGCAGAGAGCCTGACATGGGGCTCAATCCCAGGACCCTGACGCTTAACCAACTGAGCCACCCAGGCGCCCCCTCAGTCCACCTCTTAAGCTAGAAACCAAAGTTTATGGATCTTCAAATTAATTTTTTTTTTTTAAAGATCTAATTGGCTTTACTAAGCAATTTATGAATTGGGCATCATTCCATCTAGCAAGTAGAGGGGAGGTCCAAGGAATTGTACAAAATGGAAGATTTTTATAGAAAGGAGGGTGGAGAGAGAAAGTTAGTAGCAAAAGAAAAGAAAAGAAAAGATTGTTCCAGGCAAGATTACCTTCCTTTGTGGGGAAGGGCAAGGGGTCTTATTAGGCGGATTACCTCAATTTCCTTTGGAGGGGTAGAGAGGGCCCATGTGACAGATTACCTCATTGGTGTTTATGAGAAAATTTCTGATTGATGGGTTTAAGAAACATTTCTGAGGGAGGTTAAAACTGCAATTATGTTAGGTATGAAGTCCCGAATTAACTCTTAAAAGTAGAGGTTAGATTGTTTTTATACCCTTGTATAAAAAGTGATAGAAATATACTTCTTGCTTATAAGATTTAAAAATCTAGCAGTACATTTTGGGCTGTCCATTAGGAACTTTTCTGGGGTGAGCTCAGCGTGTAGGGCCTAGGAATGACATGAGGGCTCTGAAAGCTAGATCCTTCTTTTATTCTGGAAGCCTGACTCTTCCAATAGTTGTTTGCTGATAGGTCACAGGGATTGGTGAAGCTGTTTTCTTCCAATCCTTCTGCAAAAATTTGGAAACTTGGAGTGAAACATAAACTAAGAAAAGTTTTTAGAGGTACCTGGGTGGCTCAGTTGGTTAAGTGTCCGACTCTTGGTTTCTGCTCAGGTCATGATCTCAGGGTCATGGAAATGACCCCCGAGTCAGGCTCTTCACTCAGCAGGGAGTTTGCTTGTCCCTCTCCCTCGGCTCTTCCTCCCATCCCCCCCCCAAATAAATAAATTAATTTAATCTTTTGTAAAAAAAAAAATTTTTTTTTGAGAAAATCTTTCCTTTTTTGGCTAGAAAGTGGAATTCCATTCTTAACCTCAATTACTATCTTATTAAGGGAAAAAAATCATCTTAGAGTCTCTAATAGATTTAATATATGCCCCTTGATGTATCTGGGGTTTAATCTGGTTTAATTGACCATAACCTTACACATAGGCCTGAGAAATTCAGTTATAGCACCAAATCTTCCTTCCTCCCTTGGAAGATATATCAAGACTCTTTATGTTGGAAATAAAGTAGAACCCCACTTATACTGGCTTAAGTTATTTAGCGAAGTCATTGGCTCATGTAACTAGAAAGCCTAGACGAGAATCAGGCCTTAGGGTCTGTTTACTCTAGGAGCTCAGGGATGTTATAAGGACCAATTTCTTTGCTCAGCTCTGCCTTCTATGATGTTAGCTTCCAAAACTGGCTCTCTAGTGGATACAGAATGGCTGCCACTGCCCCCAGGGCCACATATACTTTCACTTCCAGAAAGAAAGAGCACCAGCATCTCACTCCCAGGCACTTAACAACCAGAGACTAGGACTTTATTTTGATTAGACCAGCAGAGATCCCATATCCAGTCCTGAACCAATCACTGAAGCCACTGATTAGCACCATATGTGGATCATATGTTCCTTCTTTTAATTATAGCCAAAGGTGCTGACTTGTTTACAACAGTCAAGGACCATCTCTGAAGCTCAGGGCTGGGGTCAGGAGTTGTGGGAGTGGGCGGGGAGGATACACATCAATCTCACTCAAATAACAGAACTGCTACCTAATAGGGGAATGATGGAATGGTTTCTGGGGAGGCAAGAACAAAGTCCATTATACAGCAGGTCTGCCATACCAGCCGTGTTCTTGTATCTGCAGGCTCTTTGCAAGAGAAGATAGCAAGCACGTGGTACAGATAGTGGGACTGCAAGAACTTCAGGTGGATAGTGTGGAGCTCCTCTTAGAGGTAATTCTTCTTTCCTTACTACCTCCCCTCCCCCCTCCCCCCCACTCCCACAGCAGCCTAAGTACAGAGAAAGAATTCATTTTGCTATCTAGCAAATATAATGGACTCAGATGTAGCCAAAGGGCCATGACAAGCATGCCACTTCAACGTTTGTAAAATGTGAGTCCTCTAAGAGGATAGCTCCCTTCTCTACAGGGTTGTTGTCTCAGTGCCATGGAGCATGTGGGAGAACCTAATGCATGAGAGGGATACTCTTGTGCTAGTTTCACAGGCTGCCAGTGTATATATTTCTATGGTAGTAGAAAAAGCTGCTGGAGAGAAATATCCTTACTTTAAGTAAAAATTTTAAGAGGTAAGGGGTGCCTGACTGGCTCAGTCAGAGCATGTGGCTCTTGATCTCAGGGTTGTGAGTTTGAGCCCGTGTTAGGTGTAGAGATTACTTTAAAAAAAATTCTTTTTCCCATAGGTAATACTTTAATGTGGGTTCAAAATTCAAGAGATACAAGGATGCCTGGGTAGCTCAGTCGGTTGAGCATCTGACTCTTGATTTCAGCTCAGGTCATGATCTCAAGATCATGAGATGGAGCCCCGCGCCGGGCTCCATGCGCAGTGTGGAATCTGCCTGTCCCTCTCTCTCTGTTCTTCCCCCTGCTGGTTTTCTCTCTCTCTCAAATAAATAAATAAATAAATAAATAAATAAATAAATAAATAAAATCTTTAAAAAAAAAATTCAAGAGTTACAATGAAAATATCCCGTCCAGGGCGCCTGGGTGGCTCAGTTGGTTAAGCGACTGCCTTCAGCTCAGGTTATGATCCTGGAGTCCCGGGATCGAGTCCCGCATCGGGCTCCCTGCTCGGCAGGGAGTCTGCTTCTCCCTCTGACCCTCCCCCCTCTCATGCTCTCTCTATCTCATTCTCTCTCTCAAATAAATAAATAAAATCTTTAAAAAAAAAAAAAAAGAAAATATCCCGTCCATTCCCTTTTCAAACTGAAGCAACTAATTTTAATACTTTTTTTGTATATCCTTCCAAAGGTATTTTTTTTCAAAGCTATTTTTAAATCTTCTATTAAAAGTTATCTTTTGGGGTGCCTGGGTGGCTCAGTCTGTTAAGCGTCTGCCTTCAGCTCAGGTCATGATCCTGGAGTCCTGGGATCAAGTCCCACATCAGGCTTCCTGCTCAGTGGGTCAGTAGGGAGTCTGCTTCTCCCTCTCACTCTCCCTCGGTGCTCTCTCTCTCAAATAAATAAAAATCTTTAATAATAATAAATAAAAGTTATTTTTTAACACTTGTTCATTATTAGATATAAACCTTACAAAAATATATAAGAAGATAGAAAAATAAAGGCCACCTCCAACTTACTATATATAACTCCCTACTTCCCACTAGGATATCTGTTAACAGCTTAAAATATTAAAACACACACACACACACACAGAGTTTAAAATATTTAAATTTTTTCCTGTTCCAGGAATTTATTAACTTATGTACAAATATACTTTTGGTGACTCTTCCTTTAATGCAGTGGTCCTCAACCCTAGCTTTATATTGTGTCATTAGGGAACTTTTTCCCCCTTAGGTAAAAAAAAATGGTTTAACCATTTTTATTGTGAAAAATAGCACTCTACAGAAAAATGCCTAAAGCCTGTATGTGTTTAGTATAAAGAAATAAGCACTTTTTTTTTTTAAGATTTTATTCATTTATTTGAGAGAGAGAGATAGCGAGCCAGGAGGAGAGGGAGAAGCAGACTCCCCACCAAGCAGGGAGCCTGATACGGGGCTTGATCCCAGAACCCTGGGATCATGACCTGAGCTGAAGGCAGACGCTTAACCGACTGAGCCACCCAGACACCCCAAGAAACAAGCATCTTTATAATCAATTATGCAGATTAAGAAATAGAACATTTTAGCACCCCACAAACCCCTATACAGCTTTCCAGTCACAGTCCCCTATAATCCTGACATTTATGCCGATCACTTTTTTTTTTTTTTTTTTTTAAGATTTATTCATTTATTTTTAGAGCGCTAAAGAAAGCACAAGCTCATGCAGGGTGAGGGGCAGAGAGAGAGAGAAAATCCCAAGGAGACTCCACTGAGGGCAGAACCTGACTCAGGTCTCTATCCCAGGACCCTGAGATTTTTGACCTGAGCTGAAATCAAGAGTCGGCCAATTAACCAACTGAGCTACCCAGGCCCCCTACGCTAATCACTTTGTTTTTTGTTATAGTTTTGCCACTTATGTATTCATCCATTAACTATGTAACTTCGTTTTTGCCTGTTTTTAAACTTTATATGAATAGAATCATACTGTATTTTTTAGTGTCTTCTTTTGCTCAACATTATGCTTTTGAGTTCCATCTATGTTTTTGCATATGGCTGTAATTTTGTTTTTATTTGCTGTGTAGTATTCAATCATATGAGTATACCACAGTTTATTTAACCATTCTGTTAATGGGTAGTTGGGATTGTTTCTTTTTGGGCACTACTCTGAACATTGTAACCGTGAATATCCTTACACATGTATTCCAGTATATAGCATATGAGTTCTTTAGGTTATATATCTAGCTGTGAAATGATTGGGTCAAAGGACATGCATATCTTCACTTCACTGGATGGTGCAACTGCTTTCCAAAGCTATGTACACTACCACAAGCAGTGTGTGAGCAATCCCATTGTTCTTCATCCTCACCAACACTTTCTGTTGACTTTTAAATTTTTACTGGTCTGGAATTATTTAATTAAATCTCATTGTGTTTTTTTCTGCATTCTGCTGATTGAGAATTAAATTGAATAGCTTTTCATATTTTTTTTTAATTTTAAGATTTTATTTTTAAATAATCGCTACACCCAATGTGGGGCTCAAACTCACAACCCTGAGATCAAGAATTGCATGCTCTACCGACTGAGCCAGCCAGGCACCCCACTTTGCATATTTTTAATTTATCTTATGGGTTTCATCTTTTGGGAATGCCAGTTAGGTTCTTTCCCTCCTTTTTGGGTTATCGGTCTTTCTCTTATTACTGATTTGTATATTCTAGATGTGAGTCATTTGTCAGTTATTTGTGTCATAAGCATGTTGTCTCGTTCTGTGGCTTGTGTTTCTAGTTTCATCACAGTGTCTTTTTAATGCTTGCTTGAATCCCTCTGAGGTCAATTAAATCAGAATCTCTTAGGGTGAGGTCCAAATGTAGATATTATTATTTTAAACTGAAATATAGGTCACATACCATAAAATTCACCTTTTTAAAGTGTATGCATCAGTGGCTTATATATATTTATATATATATATAAATTTTTTTTTTTTTTGAGAGCATGAGAGAGAGAGAGCATGAGCACAAACGGGGGTGGGCCAAATCAAGAGTTGGATGCTTAACCAACTGATCCACTCAGGCACCCTACATATCTTACTAAGTTATAATCCACATATCGTAATAATTACCCTTTTAAAATATACAATTTAGTGATTTTTAAAGAATATTCAAAAAGTTGTGCAGCCATTACCACTATCTAATTCCAGAACATTTCATCACCTCAAAGTGAAATCCTGTACCTTTGGCAGTTACTCTCTATTTCCTCTGCCTCCAGGCCTGGCAACCACTAATTTCTTTCTCGATGGATTTGTGCCTATTTTGGCCATATCATATAAATGGAATCCTGCAATAGGCAACCTTTTGTCCCTGGCTACTTTCATTTAGTGTATTTTCAAAGTTCACCCATGTTGTAGCATATATAAGTACTTCATTTTTAAGACCAAATAATACTCTATTATGGATAGAGTATATGGATTCATATTTTGTTCATCCATTCATCAGTTGATAGATACATAGGTTGTTTTCACTTTTATAGAAACCACTGTTATGAATAATACCGCTATGAACATTCACATACAAGTTTTTGTGTAGACCTATGTCTTCACTTTTCTTGAGTCTATGCCTAGGAGTGGAATTACTGGGTCATACTTTTTGAGGAACTGCCAAACTGTTTTCCAAAGTGGCTGCACCATTTTATATTCCCACCACCAATGTATGGAGATAGGTATTATTTTAAAAGCTCACCAAGTGATTCTAACATGCAGCCTGCAGCCATTATAGTCATTCTTTTAGTATATCCAGCAAGCCTGGCTAGAGGCAAAGAGAGAAGGCTAGAAGGACAGGCTGGGTACTTGGCAAAACCTACCTTTAAAACTGCTTCTCAATACACCGTTCCAGGGACTTGGGTGTGTGAAATGGCAGGGTGAGCCACCATTGATGTCTTTTTCTAAGTTTCTTTTTGCTAGGACAAATAGGTAAATTTTGCTTAAGGGCTGGAACCTCATATTTGTGTGATTATCATATTCCTGAGTCCTGGGATCTAAAACCTGAGGACAGCACGTGAGTGTGCCTATTTTAGAGTTACCTAAGAACCAAGAGCCCCTTTCTTGCAATTGTAAAAGCAGGTAAAGAACAAAAGTTCGTGACATGTGTTGAAGGGGCTTCCCTGAGACTGACCATTCTTAACCTGTCCAGAGCCCTCTCCATTGTGGAGTCCTAAGGAAATTGTTTCTCATACTCCTATTCACTGTGGTCCTCTTGCCCCCTCTTCCCCAGACATTCCTTTATTTGGCAGGGAGTTGCAGGAGAGTTGATCCCCTTGATGCCTTTATCCCTGAAGGGTAAACCAACTGAAAGGGAAAGGAGCAAATGTTGGGAGGAAGTCCCTTTTCCTTAGCTATGGGCCATCATTGTGTTAATGGGCAGTCTGGTGTCAGATCACCTCCTGTACCCTGGAAGAGTTTTATGCACTGCTCTATCCAAGTTATCTTTCCTGAGAAAAGCAGAAAGAAATTTCTTGTTAGTCAATGTGTTATCTCATTGCCATCGATACTCTTGTCTGTAATATATATGATGGTGTACAAGAAAGCCAGCTGAGATCAAGGTGGAAAGTTGATATAAATTATGGATACCCTCATAAACATTTATTGACTCGAAACAACAGCACTTACTAACTCAGGTGTCACACTT